ATTTCTCGCGTTGAATGATTTTCAACCATGCACATATAGAAGCACATAGTTATTTAGCTTCTAAGTTAATAATGCGAGCAAATTAAAAACACGTTCGAATCGTGACTAGTTTTTTATACCTAATTGTTTGATTATTCTGTAGTTTTAGGTACAGTTTTTGAATATATTAAACAAAAGCATTATTTTTGAGCTTTCGTCCTTTTTTCAACTTCAATGTATGGATAAATTATTTTCACATGATTGAAAACAGTTCCAGAATAATCAAGAAATATGCTCACATCCATACTGACGCCAAAATAAATTAAATTTCAAAGGTTAAATTCAAACTGTTTGACTTCTGTAATAAATTATCCACGGTCACTTGCTTGATGAAAGTTAACGCTCGAAGGAAAATTTTACGATTAATCCTTACCCACGACAGGTGTGATAATGTTGTGGTGACTGGGCGCTTGTAAGGATATGTTGGAGGAGTCGAAATTCCTGCATCTGTTGCGGGCTGGCGAAGACGTGGCCTCAGCGGCCGGTATGTTGACCAGCCGCGGCCTCTGGCCTTTCACTCTGGTCCGCGGCCTGAGCCTTGGCTACCGGAACGTAAATGTGACGATATATGACAAGGAGTGTAGTGAATATATTTCCTACGAGGATCGTTGATATGACGATCGAAGTATATGACAAGGAGTTAGTGAGTATATTTCTTACGCGGATTGTAGATATGAGAATCGACGTATATGACAAGGAATGTAGTGAATGTATTTCCTACGAAGTTCAATTTGCTCGGAAATTTAGAAAGATAAATTTAAGCAATTTATTTTATACGAAAATCGGAAAAAATTACAATCAACGAAGTCATCTCGCACTTAGCTAGCAATTATGAGGTCAGGAATAAAAATTATCATTAACGGTTTCGCTACTAAGATTTATGAAAATATTTTACTTGCAATTCTAATTCTGGAGAAAGGTACGCTGGTGTTGCTGTCTTGCTAATAATGTTGCTGTCCCGTAAATAATGCTAGGTAAACTATCACTATAATGTGTCTCGGTATACGTTTACACTTCAATGCGACTTGTGTCGTTCATATACCACCTATGCAATTCTCATGCCATTCATGCCGCTCTTATAGCACTAATGCCACAGCGGATGAATCATTTCCTAAGCCAGCAAGGAAGCACGGAAATTGTAATGCACATTGAGTAACGATCTCGTGTCAGGCTTCCCGTCTAGTTGATGTGACCGTTTGCTACGATCGCGTTAATTGAAGTCATTCAAAGGCTTTAGCTTCTGCGCTCATTTATTCATTCGGAAAATTTTTAAATTGTTTGATGGTAATTCTATGTTAGTATTGGACTATTTATCAAGCGAATTATTTCAGTGTAATCGATGAGCGCCGGAAAACCAAAACCATGTTTGTTAATTAAAAAACATTTTGCATTATGTCACGAATTATTGAATTAATTTGTTAATTAATTCAAATTAATTACTTATTGAATTATTTCTCTTGGTACTCACAAAATTTTCAAAATCAAGGAATCATTAATAATTAAAAGATTAAAAATTTTTTTTAGATCATGAGTTTAACTTCGCATATCTCAGACTTGAATTAAATTTATTTGAGATCACAACCCAGCAGCCTTACGTCGTCGACCAGCTGTAGTATAGCGGCCGCTGTACGGCGTCTAATCGACGTAATGGAGATGGCTTGTGCGCGGTCATGTATAACGTATACGACGCGCGTGTGCACATGTACGTTTCTCTTGGCCGGAGGTCCTTGATCTTCTTCCATGCATTCGAAATATTCAAATAGTTTTTTTAGCGCATTTTCTCATTTATGGAAAAAATGCACTATTGTGCTCGCCATGTCCGTCTTTCTGTCCGTCCGTGACCTCAAGTTTTCGTCGACGAGAAAATGCGCTCTCTGTCACTCACTGCAGTGAGTACTGAGTTATATTTTTTATTTAAATGTTTGAACAGCGATTTAAAAATTATATAAATTACATTTGATCACATCTAGTTCTGAAATCAATTATTCTTCGAAGAGTAAATTTGTCGACTGTCTTAGAAAAGCAAACACAATGTATGTGCTATTTTTTATCAAGAGTTTCGGCATAGTTCTTTGATCGTAATGAATTAGGTGTTGTCATCTGTTTACTGCATATGCAGAATCGGGAGTTATTTATATATATAAGAAATATGTCTCGAATTTTAGTTGAAATTTAGGGTAACATATGTCGATGCAAAACTTTTTATAATCGCCTTGGCTATCACAATTTAAGAAATTGGGTGCAAAATTAATTCATAAGTAAAACATTCTTGAACGTCGCACCATCATCAGTTGGCAACGTCAACTCATTTATTGTTCTTACAATTACATTGAATATCAGACCAGTTTTCATTCACAGTATTTACGCAGTCGTGTTTTATTGAGCTCATCAAATTAATGGTTTACACGGTCGAGTTTTTTTCTGTGCAAGTCAGACAGAAAATATAAAAATTTCATCAATTTATAACTGGTTATCTGAAATTTTGAATTCAGATCATTATCATCGTTTACATCATCATGTCCTTTTCGTAACAGATCCCATTGTTAAGTCACTATATGAGAGGACGTAATACAGTTAACACTAACCATACACATACTAAAAACGGTGAATATTTTCCTCGTGATTAGCATCGATAAATGAGATATTTGTTTCATTGCTTACCCCCCACCCTTCGCAGATCTGACGTGTGCTCCTCTTGATAACTAAATCGTATTTATATTTTTTACTTTTTATCAAAGCGTCGTGCAGCAGATCACATAACTTGATCATAAGTGACCATACCTCATGCCTTGAACGCATGGTATTTAATATAGCCAATTAAGTCAAACTTTTGCTTAAATATCCGCATCATGAGTGGAACTTTTGCTGGTTAAACTGCAAAACAAATAACATTGGTGAGATTGCATGCCAAGAGCTCCCTGGCAAAGCGGATTACCGTTGCTAATTACAAGCAACACAGGTGCTGCCGGATCACAATTCACTGACAACGAACTCCTTTGTTCAACGCAGCACTGCAGAACAAACACATAATACAAAACTTCATCGTACAATAGCGCGCGTCATACACAATGATGGCAATTCGATGCTCTGTGTATTGGCTGAATGGACGTGAGACTATTCGACTAATTTGTCATTAAAAGGCCCACGGCATCAGTGGGACGCTACGTGTTTACCTGATTCTTTAATACGCAGTCCACTGGTAAAAGTTAACTTTTTTTTCGACTAAATTTCCTCTTATAAACGATAATGTAGTTAGGTTTATCTGCCCTACGGTACAGCGGTTCTTCAATGGCGTTGCAAATGAAGCTTTATGTGTGAGAACTTTTAAGCATCGCTACACCGTGCCTAGGCCCCAGTTAATTGCTTCAGTCACTCTTGTATTCGCTACTTTTTTAAACGTTTCTGCCTCGCGGTTTTCTATTATATCGACACGCAATATTTGCAGCTTCTCTACCTTTATCCACTAACTGCTCAGTACTCGGCTATTCTCATGCTCGGCTTGCAGATCCACCAGCTGCATCGCTCCCGTAATGCATTAATTGCTCGTTTAGAGCTATTTTCATGCTCCTCGCGATGATCCATCTGCTGCTCCACACGATGCTCCACTTGTTGCTACAGTCAATACTCCACCGTCTGCTACACTCGCTACTCCGCTTGCCGCCACAGTCGATGCTCCATCTCCTGCTACAGTCAATACTCCACCGTCTGCTACACTCGCTACTTCGCTTGCTGCCACAGTCGATGCTCCATCTCCTGCTACAGTCGATGCTCCACCGTCTGATACACTCGCTGCTTCTCTTGCTGCTACAGTCGATGCTGCAGCCCACCTGCTGCTCCACCTGCTGCTCCACCTGCTGCTCCACCTGCATTCCCCTCTTATGAACCACGTCTCCAGCAGCTGCTCCAGAAGCTCCAGTGGAGCGCAACTCCCAAACGTTTCTCCCGCGTCGGTCGAGCGGCCGTCTGACCGGGAACGGCGAGCGCGCGTTTCTCAGCCACGGGTGCAAGCGAAAAAAGCTTCGCGTCTCGTTTCTGCGGCGCGTGATGGAAAGTGGTGCAGCCGCTCGTGAACTTTGGCTTGCTGTCGTCTTTGATGAGGCAGCGAGGAAAGTAGCAAAGTAGAATAATACATGTTTGGATAATAAAACTTCTGAAAGTATTCAGATGCTTTCACAATTTAAGGGTAACTTTTATTTGAAAAATATGAATGACATGGATTTAAGAAATATCAAAGAATTGTCCTATAGAAGTCAGTGAGGCAAATACTAAATTTATTCACTGTGGCAGCTAAAATAGTGCAGCCATATTTGCTGTGTTATGTATGCATGTTTTAATATACCTATAATATTATATATTCCTTATTGGCTCCAATTCCTCTTTGGAATTTGGAAACAGCGAATTATTTCGGAATTTCCGTTAAAATTTATTACATTAAATACCATATCGAGCACAGCTTCAGTTGAGCAAATTTAGATTTACTTATTAATGGATTACTTTTTTGGAGGTAAGAAATAATTCGAAGAAATTTTTAAGCCTAATACGAAGTTTCATGAATCTTGCGACCACCTTCGGAACCAGACTCAAATGCGGGCAATCAGTATTGAAATATAGAAAAAAGTGGACATTACTAAGTCGCTTGAATTTTTAATGCATAACGTTTTACATTGAAAAATGTATATTCATGTTTTTACAGAACGAACCTTTTCCTCACTTCCTAATACAAGTTTATATTAAACTTTAATCAATTTATACATGTTTCTCAAATTCGGCTTGTAGAGAAAGCAAATAAACTTGAAGTATCAAACGTTAAACAATACCTGATTTTGCAGGACGTGTCTCTGCAATCAATTTACACATGTTTCTCAAATTGGCCTTGTCAATTAAGCAAATAAACTTGAACTATCAAACGTTAAACAATACCAATAAACAATAAATAAACAATACAATACTTAATTTTTCAGGACGTGTCCCTGCAAAAACAAATGGAGATGAAGCACAGGATGGAGGAGGATGACCTGTACCAGCGGTTCGCCAAGCAGCGCGAGGCTGAGGACCAGAGACTGCAGACCGTCATCGGCGAGGAGTGGGAGGCCGAGCTGGCCATTATCACCTCCAGGTGAGGCATGGGGACTGGGATTACGTCCAGGTGAGTCATGGGGACTGGGATTACGTCCAGGTGAGTCATGGGGACTGAGATTACGTCCAGGTGAGTCATGGGGACTGGGATTACGTCCAGGTGAGTCATGGGGACTTAGATTACGTCTAGGTGAGGCATGGGGACTGGGATTGCGTCCAAGGGTCTCGTGGGGACTGAGATTACGTCTATGTGAGTCATGGGGACTGGGATTATGTCAATGCTAGCCATTGAGGACTTATATTACCTCCTGGGGACTGAGATTACGTCTTGGTGAGTCATGGGGACTGAGATTACGTCCAGGTGAGTCATGGAGACTGAGATTATTTTTATGTGAGTCGTGGGGACTGAGATAACGTCTTGGTAATGTTGGTGCACTGAAATTATATCCAGGCAAGTCATGTGCTCCAAAATTACGGAATTTTCTCTCGAAATGAGGTACGGGCTGGTCTTAAAGATTGGTGAGTTCATGAGGTGATCGTTTAATTACCTTTGATCTTGACTCAAAAATTTATTTAAAATTCTGCAAATAAAATTTTGAGTATGTTTTGACCTATACGTTGAGTATGTTGAAACCTATACTGTGATAATACTGTGGTAATAATACTGTGATAATACTGTGATAAAAATACTGTGATAAAAATTCCATCAAACCTAATAATGCGTTTTTTGGCAGGTTTGAACGAGATCTGGCCATGAAGAAGCGCAACCGAGAAGAGGCCAAAGTGCTGACCGTGCGTCACAACAGAGAGAAGGAAGAACTTGAGAAGAACATGACGCTTAAGAGGGACCAAACCAAGCAAGGGCTCACTAGAAAAATGCTCGAACATGAGAGGTGCGTCTGACATAAAAGTCTGCAATGGATTATTCTAACCAAATTAAATTTTTCCATTCAGCATTCAATGTGGATCTTCGTACAGTATATTGGTCTTAAAATTTAAATTTTTAATTTTTAGATATATAATGAGATTCACTAAAATATAAGAAAATCATTTAATAAACGGAACACAGTGCTAAGGTAACAGTGAATGCAACGCTGAAGATGCTGCGTAACTTTACCCATTTTCTTTTCTTATAAATACGACGTCAACCTATATAAAAAGAGCAATACGTAATACAGCACTTATACTGAGGGGCCATTCAATTCCCTCCTCTAGTTGAATATAACCCGTACAAAATCGGAATAACCGGAACACGTACGCTGCGGAACAATTTAGTTTCATGTCTTTATTTCTGTTTTATTTTATATATTTTTATTAGGTTTTGGTTTTTATGTCATATTTGGTATTTTATGATTTGTTTTTTATTATGTTTCATTACAGTTACAACCCGTAGGTTACAAAGAGATTTAGTGAAATTTTTGCACTATTCAATTAATGAAATCACCCACGTAGAAATCAACACCTTTACTGTAGAGTAATGTATATATTTTCTTACACCTTAATTCACAATATCACCCGTTCAAAGCTTTGCCCCCACTGCAGAATAATATAATTTGCTGTAATGTAAAATTAATATTTATTTTAATTTCTTCGTACGATATCACTGGTCTTCTACTGCGTCTTTGTTTTACAATCATTTAATTAATCTTTCATTGTTATTAACGTCCGCGTGCAGAGCGGCGACAGCGGCGCTGGTGGAGCGGCACAGCAAGGAGATGATGAAGCTCATCCAAGAGAAACGCCTCGAGGCCCTCGACCCTTCAGAGGCGGACGCTCGGCTGTACCCGGCCCAGCCACCGCCGCCCCTGCCGCCCCCCCAGGCCAAAACTGACATCTACCTCAGCCCCGACGAGTTCGCCGAGGTCGACCAGCTCGCTATTCAGGTCAATAATATATAGTTTGTAATATTGTGAAATTTTACTTTACTTCATAAGATGTCATGAAAAGAGTAAACTGATACTCAACTGAATTTCATTATGTAAGGAATCACTACGACTAATGAAGTCGACCAGCTTGATATTTAGGACAATATTAATGGGCTATAGAGTTTTGTAAAGTGTAATTTGTATAAATTTTGCAGTTAGCTAGTAAGATGTTACAAAAAAAAACACAGGAAACTAGCACATCTGAATCGCATCAGGTAATTTATCAGCATGACTAATACAGTCGACCAGCTTCATATACAGCGTAATAAGGTCTACTGAGTATTTTAATACTTTATAATGCTAAAAAAAAGTCGTTTTAATAGTAAGATGATTACAGAGCTAAGGTTATATTGGTACACGTCAGAATTGCGGCAAGTTAGGATTGCGAACAGTTAATGAAGAGACAGCAACTCAGACGAATTTGCTGAGGTCCACAAGATTGTCATATACTTGATGAGGCACGCGTGTTGAATATAGCATGACTTTCAGGTCGTTTAGATGACCTATAGACTATAATTGAATGAATGGAATGATGCATTCAACAAGTTAATAGCATAAATATTTCCGTCTGAAAGAACATCACTAAAACTTATAATTTCCATCGTTGAACCTTTTCCAGGTGGCGCAAGAAGACCAGAAAACTTTCACAGATTTGGTACGTCTGCTAGTTGGTCAGTGCTCGTCTGACGTGGAGAAAGCCCGTACCATCTTCCGCTGGATCACCGTGAAGAACCTCAACAGCATGAGCTTTGACGACACTGCACATGGCGACACCCCCATGGCCCTGCTCAGAGGCATCAAATATGGCACTGAGAGCTACCACGTTCTCTTCAAACGTCTCTGCAGGTTAGTGACGTTCTCTTCAAACGTCTCTGCAGGTTAGTGACGTTCTCTTCAAACGTCTCTGCAGGTTAGTGACGTTCTCTTCAAACGTCTCTGCAGGTTAGTGACGTTCTCTTCAAACAACTCTGCAGGTTAGTGACGTTCTCTTCAAACAACTCAGCAGGTTAGTAACGTTCTCATGAAACAAATCTGCCAGTCAATGATCTTATTTGTTATGCTTTGATAACAGCTACTCACGATGATTAGTGCTGCCGCACTCTCTGATCACGCACGTCAAACTCGGAACGAAAAGATACGGTCGTAAAACCACACAAGATGAGGGATTTCCTTATGATACCCCTTACGTCCATAGCTATCACCCACCTATGCATCATTTTCCTCGACACATTTGACACTTACATGCCTGTCTGCCCACAGCTACGCTGGTCTCCATTGCGTGGTGATCAAGGGCTACAGCAAGTCGGCAGGTTACCAGCCCGGCGTGCGCTTCGAGGACAACAGGTTCAGGAACTCTTGGAACGCCGTGTACGTGGCTGGGGCGTGGCGCTTCGTGCAGTGTAACTGGGGAGCTCGGCACCTCGTCAACGCCAAGGAGGTGCCCAAGGCTGGCAACAGGAATAAGAGTGACAGTCTAAGGTGAGTGCGAGGTGATAACTAAGTGCTGGGCTGTAATGGTCTAAGATGCGTTATTTTCTATAAACGAATACTTTTGAGTATTTGTAGTATTCATTTATTCGTGAGCGGTTGCTTTGCTGTGGTGTCAAAAATATAATGAGAATGCATTTACGATTACAGTCTCAGGTGAGTGCGAGGTGATAACTAAATTCTGGGCTGTAATGGTCTAAGATGCGTAATGTTCTGTAAACAAATACTTTTGAGTATTTCATAATCATTTATTCATGAGCGATTGCTTCACTGTGGTGGCAAAAATATATTAATAATGCATTTACGAGTTACAGTATCAGGTGCTTGTAACGTAATAACTTAGCTTTGATGGTCTAATGTCCCTTGATGAGCTCTTGATCCAGTACTTCTGTGTGATGACCACGAAGAATGAGATTATCAAATTATCCAATACCTGAAAGTGATGCTCCAGTGGTGTAAAAATAATAATCAAACATATATATGTACGTAACTTCAGGTACGTAAAATTCTAATATCATTGAATACTGAACGGAGATATTTTTAGCCATGAAAATATATTACTCAAAAAATTCTCGTCGACATGTCGAACCAAGTGTGCTGCTCTCACGTCAATAAAGATTTTGGATTTTTGGAGAGGATGTGGCAGAGCGCCAAGTTCTTAAAAATAACATATTGGAAAGGAAAGATCTTATTATAAGAATAAATTAATAAGAACGTTTAGCCCGGACTCCTGAAAGATCGTGCGACAAAGAGAAAGTCTCAAGAAATTTGGTCTTGATGTGCATTTCTTTCAGTAAATCTAAAATTTTATTGTTCATAGAAATGATTTCTGGTGCGGTCTTGAACTTTTTAACCAAAATAAATAGGAATTGATGTCTCAGGTAAGTCAAAAAAAACATTGAAACGTTGATGGAAATTCAGATGCAGAAAATGAAGTCGTACGCTAACCTTAATGCGAATGACTCGCAGTTCAAAGTCTAGAATCGACCGAATCTTGAATATTGGTAAACGACGAGTTACTCTGTAAATGAATGATATCTTGACGACACTATCCTTGTTTTGCTGTCAACTTCTTATTGTCCTTTAATGTAAGAAAACGCATGTGAAACCGATTGTACTTTGTTCGGCACGTAAATCTTTCTTATTTAATTTACAAACTTTTCGATTATTATGAAGTTTGACCTCTTATATGTAAACTAACTCTCTACATTATTTCTATTACAATTCCATTTTATGACGAAGACAATTATTCGAAATTTCATGAAATTTTTTAGTGGTGTTTGAATTATTCCTGTAAACTATAAACTCACCCTGTATCTTTGACTTTATATCTGCTATTTATTCACTGTTTAACCCTCTACCGCCGTATGTCTCTCTCCGGGAACATAACTTTCAACTCAAATTATACGTAAACTATTGAGTGTAGCAACCAGAGGACGTTTGTACGCAACAGAGAACATTTTAAAGTAGTGGCCTCAGCGGCCGGTATGTTGACCAGCCGCGGCCTCTGGCCTTTCACTCTGGTCCGCGGCCTGAGCCTTGGCTACCGGAACGTAAATGTGACTATATATGACAAGGAGTGTAGAGGATATATTTCCTACGAGGATCGTAGATATGAAGATCGACGTGTATGATAAGGAGTGTAAGGAGTGTAGGGAATATATTTCCTATGAAGATTGTAGATATGACAATCGGCGTATATGACAAGGAGTTAGTGAATATATATCTTACTAGGATCATAGATATGAAAACTGACGTGTATGACAAAGAGTGTAGTGGATATATTTCCCACGAGGATTGTAGATATGAAGATCGACGTGTATGACAAGGAGTGTAGTGAATGTATTTCCTACGCGGATCGTAGATATGAAGATCGACGTGTATGACAAGGAGTGTAGTGAATGTATTTCCTACGCGGATCGTAGATATGAAGATCGACGTATATGACAAGGAGTGTTGTGAATATATTTTCTACGCGGATCGTAGATATGACAATCGACGTATATGACAAGGAGTGTTGTGAATATATTTCTTACGAGGATCGCAGAAATGAAGATCGAAGTATATGACAAGGAATTAGTGAATATATTTCCTACGAGGATCGTAGATTTGATGATCGACGTATTTGACCAAGAGTGGAGTATTTCCTACGACGTTCAATATGCTCGGAAATTTAGAAAGATAAATTGAAACAATCCATTTTTATATGTAAAAAATCGAAAAGAAATGACAAACCCCGAAGTTACTGCGCACTTTGAAAGCAATTATGAGGTTAGGAATGAAAATTGTCATGACCGGTTCTGCTGCTAACATTTGCGAAAATATGTATTATACTAGTGACTCGAACCCTTATGAAAGGAACTCTGGTGATGCTGTCTTGCTTATAATGTTGTTGTCTTGCTATAATAATGCGAGGTAAATTATCACTAAAATGTGTCTCAGTACACGTTTACACTTCTATGTAACTTGTGTTATTCCTATGCCACCTATTCAATTCATTACACTTCTATGTAACTTGTGTCATTCCTATGCCACCTATTCAATTCATATGCCATTCATGCCACTCCTATGGCACTAATGCCATTCATGCGTCAATTTTTGCGTTCATGCATGGCGACCAACATTTTCAAAGACTTATTGCAACGGAAGAATCATTTCCTAAGCCAGCAAGGAATCACGGAAACTGCAATGCACAATGAGTAACGATCTCGTGTCAGGCTGCCCGTCTGCTTGATGTGACCGTTTGTTACGAAGATCGCGTTAATTGATTCAATTAATTAATTCAAAGGCTTTAGCTTGTGCGCTTTTTTTGTTTGAATTGTTTTTGAATTGAATTGTTGAATTTTTGAATTGTTTGATGTTAATTCTATGTTAGTACAAGTATTAGACTAAATATCAGGGGAATTATTTCATGATAATCGATGAGCGCCTGAAAATCAATACGACGATTGTTAATTAAAAAAACATTTTACAAAATGTCAGGAACTATTGAATTTATTTGTTAATTTATTCAAATTAATTACTTATTGAATTTTGAAATTAACTATTACTCGCTATTCAGGTCAATAATTAAAGCTACATATGTAATATTGATGAATTTGACTTTTAATTAGGAAGATTTTACGAAAAAGGTAAACTGATGTACATCTGAATTCCAATACCTCGCTATTCAGGTCAATAATTAAGGGCTACAGAGCTATATAGCATGTAATATTGATGAACTATACTTATACCTAGAGAGATGTTACGAAAAAGGTAAATTGATACACATCTGAATTATAACAGCTCGCTATTCAGGTCAATATTGCAGGGCTACAGAGCTATATAGTATGTAATATTGATGAATGTGACTTTTACTCAGGAAGATTTTACGAATAAAGTAAACTGATGCACATCTGAATTCCAATAGCTCGCTATTCAGGTCAATAATTAAGGGCTACGGAGCTATATAGTTTGTAATATTGTGAAATTTTACTTTACTTCATAAGATGTCATGAAAAGAGTAAACTGATACTCAACTGAATTTNGCGTGGCGCTTCGTGCAGTGTAACTGGGGAGCTCGGCACCTCGTCAACGCCAAGGAGGTGCCCAAGGCTGGCAACAGGAATAAGAGTGACAGTCTCAGGTGAGTGCGAGGTGATAACTAAATGCTGGGATGTAATGGTCTAAGATGCGTTATATTATATAAACAAATACTTATGAGTATTTCATAATCATTTATTCATGAGCGGTTGCTTTGCTGTGGTGTCGAAAATATAATAATCATGCATTTACGATGACAGTCTCAGGTGAGTGCGAGGTGGTCGCTAAATTCTGGGCTGTAATGGTCTAAGATGCGTAAAATTATATAAAGAAATACTTTTTAGTGTTTCTTAATCATTTATTCATGAGCGATTGCTTCGCCGTGGTGTCAAAAATATAATAATAATGTATTTACGAGGAACAGTATCAGGTGCTTGTAATGTGATAACTTAGCTTCAATGGAGTAATGTACGTTGATGAGCTCTTAATCGATTACTTCAGTGTGATGAGCACGTATAATGAGATTATCAAATTACCCATGTACCTGAAAGTGATGCTGCATTGGTGTAAAATTAATAATCAAACATTTATGAATAATAACTTCAGGTACGTAAAATTCTAATGTCATTGAACGCTGAAGGGAGATATTTTTAACCATGAAAATATATTACAAAAAAATTCTCGTCGACATGTCGAACCTCATGTGATGGTCTCAAGTATGGAAAGATTTTGAATTTTTGGAGCGTTGGTGGCAGACGCGCCAAGATAAGAAAGTTTAGCTTAGATGAGAGTATAGATTAGAAAGATATTAGATAAGAAAGTTTAGCCAGGACTCTCGAAGATCGTACGACAACGAGAAAGCCTCAAAAAATTCGTTTGTGATGTGCATCGTTATTTTTTAATCTAAAATTTTATTGCTTATATAAATGATTTCTAATACGGTCTTCAACTTTTTCACCAAAATAAATAATAATTGACATCTCAGGTAAGTCAAAAAAAGCCTTGACACGTTAATGGAAGTTTCTGGTGCGTCATCGTCCTCAAAATTGTCGTAAATCTGTCATTATCGAGCCGAATTTAACTTTATGAATGCGGGGAGTTATTTCAGTCCATCTACATAAGGCTAGTCGGATGTTTCGCTGTAAAATGAAGTCGTATGATAACTTTAACGCGAATGACTAGCAATTCAAAGTCTAGAATCAATCGAATCGTGAATATTGGTAAACAAAGAATTTCTGTAAGTGAATGATATCTTGACGACACAATATCCTTGTTTTCGCTGTCAACTTCTCATTGTCCTTTAATATATGAAAATGCATGTGAAACTGATTGCACTTTGTGTAGCACGTACATAAATCTTTCTTATTTAAATTGCAAATTTTTCAATTATTATGAAGTTTGAAGACTGGTGACCTTGATGACCTCTTATTTGTAAACTAACTCTCGTATTATATTGCATTTCCATTTTATGACGCAGAAAATTATTCGAAATTTCGTGAAATATTTTAGTGATGTTTGAATTATTCGTGTAAAATATAAACTCACCCCATATCTTTGACGTGCTATCTCGTATATATTTATTCACTGTTTAAGTTCGATTTTTGGAGCTCACTGTTGCCAGGGAAAGTGAAATAGCATTATTTTCCACAATAATAGAATTGTGAATGTAATTTATTTACCAATTAACCTTTACTAGCACAAAAACCAATCGGTGCATTATCCTTCTTACCTGCTTCTCTAATCTACCGTAATCGGGTTGTGAAGATCAATATACTCACACACCTCGTTAGTACTTAACTTCTCTTGTATGTGTAAGTAAACTTAATGCACTTTCTTGAACTCAAGCTGTAGTAATATTTCTCAATCTGGTAAATAGAACTATTTCTCATCCTGACTGACTTTGACGTAGCCGATAAACCCAATCAGTTTCTTTATTTTCCTTGCGTGGCGAGCATGATTCTGTCTTCTCCTGGGCCTATACTTTTAAAAAAGTTAAGAGATCGTAAGTTTATCAGCCAATCATTGACGGCCTTTCAAGCAAAATCCACCAATCATAGACAAGAAAATAGAGCGTAAGTACTTACGTTCACTTAGCGAGTTTTGAAAGTGTGGCCCCTGATCTGACCGAAGTTTTTAGACCGCCTCTATAGAGATGTTCCTAAACACTGTATATTTTACACTCTCTCCGGCACAGGGCTGCAGAGAAACGGAAAAAGGACAACAACTTAAGGTTTGTGTGACCTGAAAATCTGACTAATTACTTAACCTTTCACTCTAAGTGCGTACATCTTCCACTGCATGTATTATTACTTTATTCATCTCTTGTTCGTTGCATGTTAATTTCAACTTTCATATCCGCAAGCAATGACGATTGTTTGGAATCATTAAATTATGGTTGACTGATGATTTTGTGCAGATTGAGATTTAACTCCTTAGGCATGGGCGAGGTTGAATTTTTATTTCAGATATTATAAAAAAATTTAAATAAAAAAGTATATACTTTACCTTTAGTTCCGTTCAAACGCTTTTTATTATGCACATTGTTTTTCAAAAACAAGGACATAATTCGAGGTCAATTCAAGGGAATTTTTCGCTCATTTACACCATTTTCTCCATTGGCTGTCAATAATAAAACATGCTCACTTGATTGCTAATATTCATCATGCTAGGGATCACTAACACGAGCAATGAAATTACTTTATTTATAAATTAAAAGAGTTCTTCGCTGTGTTCTGAAGTATATCGAATAATCGTTACATCGGCTAACGTGATCTCCCAAAACCAAATGACAACTGCGATTTTATCTATCAACCTCAAAATTCTATGACAATTTGTAACCAACTTTAGATGTCTCGCCCTCACATTTCCAATTTCGAATTTCGTCTCTATTACAGGTACGAATACGACGACCACTACTTCCTGACAGATCCCAAAGAGTTCATCTACGAGTTCTACCCTCTGCAGTCTGAGTGGCAGCTGCTGAAGACGACCATCTCCCTGCGTGACTTCGAGGAGCTGCCCTTTGTACGGTCGCTCTTCTTCCGCTACGGCCTCTACTTCCCTGACGACGACACTAAGGCCGTCATGTACACTGACTCAACAGGTGCACAGCCTTAAATATTATTACTTCAATCATAATTTTTATCATTAATATCATTATTAATACCACTGACTCAACAGGTGCACAGCCTTAAATATTATTACTTCAATCATAATTTTTATCATTAATATCATTATTAATACTAGTACTATTATTATAATTATTATTATTAATTACCACCGCGAATATTACTACTTAAATTATAATTTGTATACTTAATATCATTATTAATACTAGTACTATTATCATCATTATTAATTAGTAATTACTATCATAATAATTGAGAGCGGCATTAAAATCTTCTCCGTGATATATTTTTGTATTCATTCTATTATGAACATTTTATTTTTCGTATTAACTCGAGTTTGTGCCGTTGAAAATGTTCTAACGTTAATTTACTTGTGTTTAGAAGTAATTACTATAAAAATTGCTAATTTCCGTTCCATTAATGTTACTTTTGGGTATCCATTAGTAATATTGTCATCATTGCTCATTTTCTTTCGTGAGGCAATTTTAACCATAATTTTCTCGGAAAAATCAACATAACTTCTCGGAAAATTGTATCCGTTAGTAGATGTAGAAGTGTTGCAGTCTCTAGCATTATTTATTACACTAATCAGTATTATTTAATGTTAACGAATGCTATTCACAAAAGTTTGTTAGTTACTGCAAACTCTTCCGAAGTTGCAAATTCTACATCTGATGTTGATGAGCACGCTCGAAGCTTGAGTAAAACCTAGACTATATATTTACACGTCAATATTTATTTTCCTTCAAATTACAAATGGAAGAAATTTAGATTAATCGCGCTGAATATTAAAGTGTAAATCTTCAAACTTTGTTCACGGGCGCTAAGCTACCATTAAAAGCTATACCGACAAGCTATCCCTATTCCCCCTTGCAAGCTGGTATCCTAAGTTACGATCAGTAGACCATTAAATTTAAAAATAATTAATTAATTAATTAAGTCCATTAAATTCTATCTTGTGCAGGTGCGGCAACTATAAATTCCCTCCTGCAATCTGGTACCTATCCTAAGTTACCGTCAGTAGACCATTAAATTAAAAAAATAATTAATTAATTAATTAATTAAGTCCATTAAATTCCATCTTGTGCAGGTGCGGCAACTATAAATTCCCTCCTGCAATCTGGTACCTAACCTAAGTTTCCGTCAGTAGACCATTAAATTAAAAAATAATTAATTAATTAATTAATTAAGTCCATTAAATTCCATCTTGTGCAGGTGCGGCAACTATAAGACTGGGCATGCCGCCCGACCTGCAGTCTTCCCTCATCTTCCACTACAACCTCAAACTCTACGACTCTGACAAAGACACTTACGATGGCACGTCTCTCAAGCGCTTCGTCATGCAGGTGCCTGCGATAGTTCTTTGTTCTTACATTAAGGAAGCCTGTTCTTTGTCTCTAGAGGCGCATTTCTTCTTTGAATTTTTATTTTAAAAATATACCTTATTATGTGATATACAATCAACTCATCTTATGTTACATATAGATTATATTTAGAATGCAAATTTGCCTGATGTTGCCGTTTTCGTGACATTTCTGGTTTATATATTACTCAGCCTTGAGATAAGGAATCTAAATTGTTCATATTGATATTCATTTACCGCATAAGACTTTTTTTATTATCCATTCTAATATAATGCTTGAATATAACTTATCTATGTGTACTTATCTATCTGTACTTATCTATGTGTAAAGCTTAAATATCAAATATCTGAACCTGCGTTCGGACCTGGCAGTCTGTGGTGGGTGACATGGTCGCGTTCCGCGTGCACGCGCCGTGCTCAGGCGCCCTGCTGCTCGACATCTTCGCGAACGCCGTGACGCCGCGCGAGTACCTCACCGGCGAGCCCATGAAGTTCAAGAGCGTCTGCAAGTTCAAGATCGTGTGTGAGGACCTGCAGACCGTCATGGTGCCTCTGCCAGACTGCGCCTCTGGGGAGTGGGGGCCTGTCAAGGCCACGCGCCTCTTTGGCCTCGAGCCTGTCACGCATATTGACGCCCTCGTCTTCGCTGGGAGGGAAGTCGACATTAAAGTGAGTGGTAAACTGTTAACGAAGGGTTGTTTTATAGTGAGTGGTAAATTGTAAACAAGTGCTTGGTATTGAAGTGAGTAGCAAACTGCAAACGAGTCCTTGCTATTGAAGTGAGTAGCAAACTGTAAACGAGTGGATGATATTAAAGCGAGTGGCAAACTGTAAACGAGTGCTTGATATTAAAGTGAGTGGCAAACTGTAAACGAGTGCTTGATATTAAAGTGAGTGGCAAACTGTAAACGAGTGCTTGATATTAAAGTGAGTAGCAAATTGTAAACGAGTGCTTGATATTAAAGTGAATACTAGACAACCAACAGTACGTAGGATTGACGTTGAATAGAGCACCAGACTGCCAACAGTGTGTGTATGTAGTTGATATTGAAAGTAGTATTGTACTATAAATTGTACGGAATGTGAACATTCAAGTGAGTTGTAAACTAACAAAGGTACGAGTAGTTGACGCTAAATTAAGGATCGCACTGTCAATTAAACGCAGGGCAGTATCAGAAAAAATCAGAAGCAGAATATCATATTGCATGTATAATTTTATAAAAAAAAGTATGTTTGTGCAATTTCCGCTCGGTTTCTCCAGTTCCGCATGACGCGACCACTCACAGACTTCATGGCTACGCTGCACCGCAACGGCTACGAAGAAAAGCGCCTCAACAAGTTCGTAAGTCACCGCGTCGAGGACGACATCGTAACCTTCAGCTTAACTTTCCCAGAAGAAGGCCAGTTTGGCATGGACATTTACACGCGGGAAGTTGGAGCGTCGAACGCTGCTAACCCGCACCTCAGTTCGCCGCCTGAGAAGCATTTGCTCACACACTGCTGCAAATATCTTATCAATTCATCCAAGAGAAACTGAGCATATTGCAACTTGTAAAAATGTGTTTTTTGATTATTCTATATCACGCTGGTCCTCCAACATACATCCATATAAACATGTCTGACTGCCCTTTTCGTACATGGCCGCTAACACCATCATGCATTACTACTGGAATAGGGATCGGTTGAATATACTATTCTAATATATACTGTTGTATACTGAAGTGCTTAGACTGTTGGGAGTAGAGGACGTTGCACAACGCAACGATTTAATTCAATAGAACTTCCCTTTGAAAAAAAAATTCAACAGGAAGAAATTTCCTCAAGAACCTTGTTTGGTAAAAATATACACAACATTTATGTCTGGACATCAATCCTTAGTAAAATTATACACATCATTCATATATGGACATCAATCCTTAGTAAAATTATACACAACATTTATATTTCTCGAAAGAGTGAGGCTAAATGACGTATTGTATATATTTATACACGCAGAAATAAATAAATACCCCCAAAAATATCTTTACGTTAAACTGAAGATTTCCGCCGTGTTCCATAAACGCCATCAAGCTATTGCTCCAACATGCAGGAACAAAAGCTCATTCATTTACTATAAATATAAGTGTGATTATTTCCGCCTTGTTAACAATGACAAGAATATTCAATTTATAAAACTGTTTTAGTTGGTCTGTTTTATTTGATCACGACCTCGACCATTAAATTTCAGACTGCATATTCGAAACAACTCCATTGAGTTAGTTCCGAGTAAATGTATTCCGTAAACTCTATTAAGATGAGATCATTTTTCAAAATTAAGCCGCTATTACTTCACAGTATTCTGCATGATGGCCAGAATGATGCTCCATGATTGCTACATGTATTAGTGATGATGGCGATGCAACAAGATAAAAAGAAAGTTTATATCAAACAAGGAAGTTATATGTTAAATTTCTACTTATCAGTAAAATGAAAATTACATTTTTGTTTGCCGTGCAGCGAATGGTTTGTGTTTAGATTTTATTTAGTCGAGTCACTTGTTTGAAGAATCCATGGCGGCGATTTATCAAATGTAGATTAAGTGTAACATATCGCACGTGTTTCTCGCAGATCTTTTATTGCTTGAAGCTATTACTAACTTACTGTCGTTACTTCCAAACCTTAATTTAAGTTCACTGCTGTTGACGTTCATCATTTTCTTATATATTAATCATCGTATAACTCACACATCAGGCACTCACACATCAGGCACTCACACATCAGGCACTCACACATCAGGCGCAATGCCAACATTAATTATAACATCGACAATGCCAGGGTATACTAGAAAAATGGATATAATTCATATGTATAATAAATTATAACATGTTATGACGAATGAGACTGTAGATTATAGTGATTACTTACTTCGAGTTTGTACTAAATTAGCCGTTTTTAACACGAACTGATTTCAATACCAAATCATGAATCTTGTACAAAACGAAACTGAGTTCGCAACATTCCCGTGCATTTAGTGAGACTGTGGATAATATGGAGTTGTGAAGAAACTATAACATAATATTTTTATAATTCATTCGAATAAACTGTATTAAAATATCATTTCTTGCCTTTAATCCTACCCATTCTTGCGTTAATTGCTCAAGTCAAATTTTAAAGTTAGCAAATTTAATTCGTAACTAATTATGCAACATGAGTTTTTTGCTGCAATAAACTTCCAATTCACCAATTGCACCACAAAAATACCGTTTTCGAATAACACCTGAAAATTCTTTACTTTTTAACTAGTTTATTTATTTTTCAGTGCAGTTTGCGTATTTAAAATCATAACACTTGCAACAATAATGTCGCCGCTGCTCGCAGAATCGCACTTTTTTGAGGAAGTTAAAGCTCCAAGCGTTGCTCTCGACATTTATAGTTTGAAGCAAAGTTATTCTAAAATAAAGGTTTTCATAGTAATTTCTGATCCAGAACCTTCAAGGTTCAAGTCTAATGATCGTCATCTAAGAACAAGTGGATATTTTATCGTGCATGTTTGCTAAAATAATTACATTTTTCATTACTGAACGACCTTCGTCGTTTGAAAATCATGCTCGGTGGACTCATGTGTCGGTAGAACAAATCTTTTTGTGAAGGCGAACTGGAGAAAAGTTTGACCTTTTTCGAGTGTAATTTCAAGGTAATACCATGTATATATAGTACCTGTTCTATTTATTTTGGAGTTCAAAAACTACTCTAAGTTAATAAAGATTTTATGATGAATATAAAGTACCAAGCTGGTGTTGTTCATGGAGATAATGTACTGATAAGATCGAAAACGCGATAAAAAACCTTACAATGAAGAGCAGGTGACGGCAACAATAAACTCAGCGGTGAAAGAATGAAAGTAACGATGAGCGCGACTTAAAAAACGAATTTTTTATAGCGTTGGCCTAGATCAAGTTTTTAACATATCAGACAAAAAAACAGCGCAAATATGTTTTTGAAAACTTTTTAGCACATTGACTTGACCTGTTGAAAGCGTACATTAGTGTTAAAAACGAAAATGGAAATACACATTCCAGCCGATATTATCATGTTAGATGTCTAAAAGCAATCAAATGTTTCGAAATTAAAATTTAATTTATAACTATGAAAGAAGATTGAATAATTGAGAACATAAACCCGTTGCTATCATTGATCGTGTTATTTATGCTAGGTGAATAAAAAATGATTAAAGTGTCATTCATGTCCGATCAGTATGCGGGCAGTGATAAGAGAGCGTTATCCATCAACAGTTTTCTCGTCACCATAAACTTAATGCTTCTCATCCCTCCTGCATATTCTCAGATATCTAACTTACCTCTGCAGATAATCAAGTTCAACGCTCTAACCGCGTTAGAATTTACCCCATTATTGTACTTGCACTTCACCGCTTCTAAATTTTAGTAATCGAGTTATGCGTTAAGGTTTAGCAAAGCCAAGGTTTTATTGATATCCAATATAAGGCAGGTCTTGTCTAATTGAACTTCTCTGGCCACAAAAATGTGTATTGGAATGTAACCGAATGCAGAAGCAAAGGCTATAAATAAGATAAAAAATGACAAAACAATCAGAAGCAAAGCGGAACAAATAAAGCAACCTTCAGCAACCTTCAACAACCCCGGGTATATAGGCCCGGATCAGAAGCTGCCTCTACCAGCCTGCGAGTCTTGTGAGTACGTGTTTGTCTTCAGGCATAACTATTGTTACTATTTTGTACAGTTTTATATTTTAAGGCTTCGTTTAACCTTGAGTTGAGTTACTATTGACATCGTTTATCTTACTGCTTTCACAAGTCTCGGCTCATTCGTGCCATATCATAATCCTCTGTAATAGCGGCCTTTTGAGATGTTTTTTTTTTTTGCACCATGCCTAAGATAAGATTTCAAGCATATATAACTTACAACTGTCGTATAATTCGATGCAGACGTATTTTAATGCTTGATTCAGCACCAGCTACGCACATCTCGGTTGTACATTGTACGTTTGTGCGGCAATTTAGTTCTATAGTTCTTCGGCTTGTACAATGTAGTTTGGAGCATGATAAATTTTTCCTGAATTTTTTTATTGAAATTAGTGATAATTTCTTGAAATCAATTTAAAATAACTTCATGCTAATTAATCGATTAATTTAGCAAGTAACTAAATTTCACAAGGAATAATTTTCATATGCTACATATGTCCCTCACTGACATCACCAAAAGAATCGGCGACAGGCCACATCAGGCCTACACTTCAGCGCCGACATCACTATGTTATGTTATGTTATGTCTAATAGCAGCCTGCCAAATGTCCTGCGGCTGCCGAATGTAAGACTTCAAGCATATATAATCATATTTCGTATGATTCGATGCAGACGTATTTTACTGCTTGCATCAGTTCCAGCTGAGCACAGATCTCTTGTACTATATTGTAAGTTTGTGCGGCAATTTAGTTACTAGTTCTTCGGCTTGTACAATATAGCTTGCAGCATGATAAATATTTCCTGAATTTTTTTATTTAAATTAGTGATAATTTCTTGAAAGCAATTTAAAATAAGTTTATGCTAATTAATCGAATAATCTAGCAAGTAACTAAATTTCATAAGGGATAATTTTCATATGCTACATATGTCCCTCACTGACATCACCCAAGAGCATAACACAATAGTTGTTTGTGTACAAAAATGAAACAAAAATTACCTTGAACCAAAACGCGCGAAAATTCATAAAAATATTATATTCTAATGTACTCATATTGGTATTATTTTGTTTTTATATTGCTAGCCTTGTCGCTTGTTGCGAGGTGCATCATCGTAGTTGCGGCGATTGCTGTATGGTCACGAACGCAAGGAACCACAAGAACTTTGGCAACGCCTTCAAGAAAAATTCGGCGATATTCTCCAGCCAAGTTGGTTTTTATTCGCGATTTTAATGGATGTTTAGTCTTGTTTTTTTGAGACCAATAAGGATCCTTCAAATGTTCAATAGAAGAAAAATTTTCAGTGATTACATTTCCGAACATTGAAATCTATAAATCGGCTTGGAATTCGAAATTCATAAATAAGTCTCCAGTTTCAGAAAATCATGTTAATTGTGCTTCCAATCAATTATGACTGATCAAATAATTAGTACAATATGCTACAATCCCTCTTTCAAACCATGTATATTTGGAACATTATCTTTCAATGCACTGCTGGGATGAGCTACTAAAAACCCAATCCAATCGATCGCGTTACATTTCAGATACTGCTTATCTACAACATACCTGCATGGTAACAGATCGTGAAATTTCAATTTTCCTTATAAAACAAAACGACGTCTTAAAGACGCAGTACCAAATAAAAGTCGCTGAGCAAACCATTTCCATATAGCGCAACAGATCTTCGTAAGGAGACATTACACTAACTAGTGCGCAGTGCATGCAGCCCGTGCGACGACTTCAATAAGTTTGGCCGGAGGAAAAGTGCGAGTTTTTGCAACTCCTTTTCAACACCGAACATCTGAAGGTTATCCACCGCGATCGGATTTGGAAGAAATGTTGATCATCGTAATTTATGAATTGCGGGCAATTTTTCCGGTTCATTCTGAATAATCGTTGGTTGAAATTCGTACGAAATTAGTATGTCATGATGATAGAAATATCTAGGAATTAGTTGTTATCTGATCTCATTACAATATTGTTCTAATCAATCATATGCCATTTTCAGCTGTTTGTTTAAAATCCAATCAAAATATGCATAATACAATCAAGGTCACGGATTGAAAATATCTCTGCTTTATTCAGAAAATATCAATTTCAAATTAGTGTTTACTGTAGGCAAGATTCAATCTATAAGGAAAAAGTAGAATTTGGAAATGCTATAATATTTAAAGATGATAAGGTAGTCTTTCATAATAGAACACGATTAAATTTACTGTAGTTATAGGACTTACTAGAACGAGCTGCAAAATTCGGACGTTTTTTTTTAAGAACTTCATAGGCGGAACTAAATGGGCTTTAATATTAGAACTCTTGCAAAGGAATTCTCAAAATATATCAATATTAAATAAAGCGTGATGTTTGAGCTCGCACATTAGAGTTGTAATATTTGAATACTAATAAATGAAGCGACAACTAAGAACTCGTTCAAAAATTTAGTAATAGAAATCAACTAAATTTAGAGTAATGTTATTCCTAGTTCAGAACAGTAGTAATAATTGAACACGTCCAAGCAAGCTTTAGTGCATATCATTAATTATTATCGAAACACACGTGTATTGTCAGCCTTTGATTGCAAGGCTTACCACTGGTAGTTGTTAGGTTGCATTTTCAAGACTTTGGCAAGAATTTTTTTCCGGGACGACCACAAAGCAAAATAAACAGTGAAATTGTTTTGCATTAATCTCTTAATACTATTAATTCCCGCATCATTAGGAAAAGATAACTATTATTCACTTACACTGCATTCGGGCAAAGAATAATCGTCCAAAGACGAAACGAAACGAAATCGTAAAATCGACACAAATATAGTTTCGTGACAACATTAGTTCAACCTTAACATAATAAATTCTTAGAAAGAACTTTAGCAGGTTCAGTGTTATTAAACAGGAAGCTGGATCATTAACGCAGAACATAACTCTGACTGACGTCATAAGGGTTAAGAGCTACCACAATTTTATTAATCAATTTAACAAATTGCTGTGAAATTCTTCAGAAACTTTGGATAACATTTTTT